CACCACTCTGCTGAGGATCAGGATTTGAAGTCCAGGATTACATAGTGATTGTGAGAGTACCCTGAGCTACATGGGACTTTGGGAAGAGAAGGAGGAGGTGAGGAAGATGTGGGGGGGGAGAAGAGGGGAGGGGAGAAGAGGAGAGAAGGGAAGGAGAAGAGGGGAGGGGAGGGAAGGAAGGGAAGAGAGAGAGGAAAGTATAGCCTTAGCTTTACTGGGAGATAAAAGAAACCCACACACTCACAAGCTGACCCAGGGTCCATCTTTCCGTCTTCTTCTTGGGCCCGAGTCAAAGCAGCCTCTTTGTGTGACGGTCCCAGGCCCTGTGACTAAGTCTTTCATTCGCATCCTCCAGGGAAAGGCCCCTGGATACACAATGGGTATAGTGTTCGTGTTTTATAGTTCCTCTTTTTCTCTCATGGTCCCAAATGGCTGGCAGGAAATACATTCTCTTATGACTTCTTTTCCTGTTATTTTGACGGGAAACGGGAGTTTTGTGAGGCCAGCATGAAGACAGCTGGGTCGCATGGGACTGAGCACATCGCAGGAGGGCCATGGCGTTAGAGTTCAGCTTCCTGAGACCTGTTCCTGGGGCTTCCATTCAACCTTCCTAGTCTTACAGAACCGCCGGCCCAACGGAGGCAACACTTCAGCTGTCAGGGCTAAAGGGATAAGCAGGGGGCAATGTGGCCCGAACAGGGGTCTACCCTGGGCAAGCCCTTGCTGTTGGCTTGGAGAAGTAGGAAGTTATCAAATTGGGGGTCTGGAGTGTGCATATGGTTAGCGCGCATGGGGCCCTGGGTTCAATCTCCAGAATGGTAAAATGAAACAAAAATCTGTAGCCCAGTATGACAAACGAAATACCGCCACTGCTCGTCAGCACGGAACAGCGCCACCAGAGCCTCACGTGGCACCTCCACGTCCATACCGGTTTCTCGCCGGCTCCCATAGACAGCCAGCCCTCAGGATCTGCTCATCTCTGGCCCTGGTGATGTAGTAACAGGCACCAAAACCACGCCTGGCTATTTATACAGATTCTGGGCATCTAAACTCCTCCTCACTGGGCCGTCCTCCCAATTCCATGAATCGGTTTTCATTAATTTTATTTCAAGAGTATCATAGATTAAAAAACAAGACAGGAGGCTAGTAAATGAACCGACACAGGAAGCAATCTTCAGGTGCTTTCTCCACTTAGAAGAACGTTTTGTTCAGCCTTTACCTACTGAAGGGCATCTGGGTCCCCAGCCTGAAGCCTTTCTTTCTCCAGGATCCTGTCCTGTTATAGGTGGTTATTAACTGATAGTTAGGATTTATATAAAGATCCTCAAGGAGGTTGTGGTGGTGTGCTCACACTGTATCGCCCAGTTCAATGAACACCTCTAGTCTTAATTTCTGAGTAAATTTATTTATTCCTAAGTTGCATAAGCATCATCATGAATGCTCTTCATTAAGAAAATCTGGGGCTTATGAAATGGCTCAGTGGGTTAAGGGGCTTGCTGCAAAGCACGACAACGTGAGTTCAATCCCCAAGACCCACTGCTAGAAGAAGAGAGCTGACTTGCATACGTTGTCCTCTGACCTTCACACGTAAGCTGTGGTGTAAACTCCCTCCAAAGCCCCCAAAATAAACATAATATTTTTTAAAAAATAAAGGAATGAAATCTAGCTCACAGTTTCCAATCCCCTGAGTATACCTCCACCTAATTTTTTAAAATTGAGACTAAGATTTGCTCTCTGCCTTTGTTAGGGTAAAATGAGGCTGATGTGTACGATCTGAGTGTGCAGGGGTGGTGAGGGCGGGGCTGAGGCTGACGTGTACAGTCTGAGTGTGCAGAGGTGAGAGGATGGAGCTGAGGCTGACATGT